TTTATTCACCAGTTGAGGGAAACTGTTACATTGATCGTGAAGAAGGTTGATTTTGTGGCGTTTAATGCGCATGTGATTAATTGTACTGCCCAAACGAACAAGAAGTCCAAAAAACTGGACATAATTGTATTTGTGGCTGAAAGGTTTTGGGGTCTTCAGGAACTAACCAGCTAGCAGATAATGTTCTGAGAACCATGTTTCTTAGAGCTTGGTGAGAGCGTGGTTGTAATGGTTACTGTATTTTCCATACTACCTTCCCACAACTTTCTGGGAATGGTGCAGGATACAGTGAGGGAAAAAAGTATTTGATCCCCTGCTGATTTTGTACGTTTGCCCACTGACAAAGAAATGATCAGTCTATAATTTTAATGGTCGGTTTATTTGAACAGTGAGAGACAGAATAACAACAAAATAATCCAGAAAAACGCATGTCAAAAATGTTATAAATTGAAAATGGATTTTAATGAGGGAAATAAGTATTTGACCCCCTCTCAATCACAAAGATTTCTGGCTCCCAGGTGTCTATTAACAGGTAACGAGCTGAGATTAGGAGCACACTCTTAAAGGGAGTGCACCTAATCTCAGTTTGTTACCTGTATAAAAGACACCTGTCCACAGAAGCAATCAATCAATCAGATTCCAAACTCTCCACCATGGCCAAGACCAAAGAGCTCTCCAAGGATGTCAGGGACAAGATTGTAGACCTACACAAGGCTGGAATGGGCTACAAGACCATCACCAAGCAGCTTGGTGAGAAGGTGACAACAGTTGGTGTGATTATTCGCAAATGGAAGAAACAGAAAATAACTGTCAATCTCCCTCGGCCTGGGGCTCCATGCAAGATCTCACCTCGTGGAGTTGCAATGATCATGAGAACGGTGAGGAATCAGCCCAGAACTACACGAGAGGATCTTGGCAATGATCTCAAGGCAGCTGGGACCATAGCCACCAAGAAAACAATTGGTAACACACTACGCCGTGAAGGACTGAAATCCTGCAGCGCCCGCAAGGTCCCCATATACAGGGCTGTCTTAAGTTTGCCAATGAACATCTGAATGATTCAGAGAACTGGGTGAAAGTGTTGTGGTCAGATGAGACCAAAATCGAGCTCTTTGGCATCAACTCACTACATGTTCGTCGTCAAACCCACTGGCTCCAGGCCATCTATAAATCACTGCTAGGCAAATCCCCGCCTTATCTTAGCTCATTGGTCACCATAGCAGCACCCACCCGTAGTCTGCGCTCCAGCAGGTATATCTCACTGGTCATTCCCAAAGCCAACACCTCCTTTGGCCGCCATTCCTTCCAGTTCTCAACTCGCCGTGTTTGGAGGAGGAGGAATGCTGCCTATGACCCCAAGAACACCATCCCCACCGTCAAACATGGAGGTGGAAACATTATGCTTTGGGGTGTTTTTCTGCTAAGGGGACAGGACAACTTCACCGCATCAAAGGGACGATGGACGGGGCCATGTACCGTCAAATCTTGTGTGAGAACCTCCTTCCCTCAGCCAGGGCATTGAAAATGGGTCGTGGATGGGTATTCCAGCATGACAATGACCCAAAACACACGGCCAAGGCAACAAAGTAGTGGCTCAAGAAAAAGCACATTAAGGTCCTGGAGTGGCCTAGCCAGTAGGGGATCAAATACTTTTTTCCCTCACAGTTGCTTGGCTTTGGATTATTCTAAGCACATTTAATGAATTTGCTAAAAAAATATATGTTTTCTTGGTATTTCATTACTTTAACAGAATGCAACCTAAAAGTTCAAACATGGTTACATTTAATTTCAATTTTGGTAATGTTCTAGGAACGTTCTCCAACTGGTTTGGCATTGGGAATGTTTTCAAATAGTCCCGAGAATGTTAAGAAATGTTATTCTGTGGGAATTTCAGTACTTCAGCATAACGTTTCTTACAGGTCTACTTATGGTTCTATTTAAAGTAATGTTCTCATATTGTTCCGAAAACGTTAAGAAACAATGTTCTTCTGTGGTAATTTCAGTATTTCCACAGAACATTCCACACAAGTTCCCATGTGGTTCTATTTAACGTAATTTTTTACTACATTCTGGGAACGTTCTCAAAAATGGTGTGACTTAAGCAATGTTTTCAGAACGTTCAGAGAATGTATGGTTCTCTTTCATGTCAGTTCTTGGCAATATTCTGTGAATGTTCTAAAAAATGGAATTGTAGACATTAACATCAAAAAGCTCTAAATTCCGTTCTCAGAACATGATGAAAACGTTCCATAAAAACCACAAGAAAACTTTAGTAACTTTCAGAGAATGTTCTACAATGTTTACTTAAAAACATAGACATTCTGTTCTCAGCATCAACAAAACTCGATCTTGTTAAGTGTGTTCAGGTGTGTTGGCCGAGCCCACTAATTGGCCACACCTGATCTTAATGAGTGCTTGTTTCCTTTGAAATGGGGTCTGTTTGAATAGACTACAATGAACAGCTTTGTATGCATAAAAATCATGGCATGCTAGCTCCATCATGGTGGCACAATGGACTAATTCCAAGGATAGAGAACAGAAAGTAATATGTTTCAATCTCACTGATGTCGTGTCACATTAAAAAATAAATGTGTTTGCACGATTAATGCGTAAGGAAATGAATTTCCATGTGTCCTATCTTTTTTTTATTTTTTTGTCATTTAGCAGACGCTCTTATCCAGAGCGACTCCAGAGTGAGTGCATACATTTTATTTTATTTATTTTTTATTCTTGTCCCCCGTGGGAAACGAACCCACAACCCTGGCGTTGCAAACGCCATGCTCTACCAACTGAGCTACACGTGAGCTATCTGTGCTTGGAGTTCAAAAAAGTTAACCCCAAAAAAGCTAGCAGTATTATCGGAAGTCTTATTGAAAATTCAGTTAAAGTTTTAAGGAAGTTATTAAAAAACCTCCAAATAACCTATAATTTAATAAAACCTCCCAGGAAAACGTTCAAGGAAACAGAATAAAACGTTCTCAGAACTTCCCTGCAACCTAAAAATACACATTCCCAGAACAGGCAACATTTTCACTTCTGTTCTCAGAACGTTTAAAAAAACGTTCAGTTTTACCGGTCAGGAAAAGTATGGCTTCATTTCCACAACCAATGTGAAACCAAAAACATACGTTCCCACAACTTCCAAAGAACCAAATGTGCTAGATGGGTAACAGCTGAAACATTGCAGGGAATACTGTCAGAAGATGTTCGCCCCTCCCAGGCCCTTGAGCCTGTGGGATGTGATCTTGAATGGAATGTTACTGAAGGAATGGGATAGGTTTTTGATTTATCTATTTTCCATTCCCTTACAAAAAAAGATTGCAGTTTTGAAACTGCAGTAAAAGTGAAGTAACTGCAGTCGACTGTGATATTTTGGACGCTGTAATTGCAGAATAACTGCAGTTATACTGCACTCTAACTGCAGTTACAATGCAAAAAAATTTACAGTGTTATTTTCGACGCAGTATTTGCCGCATACTGCAGTTATACTGCACTCTGACCGCAGTCCTTTTTCGTATTTTTTTTTTTTTACAGTAGGTGACGGCATACACATTGCATTTGTGCAAACGCCATTATAGCAGAGAAGAAGGAGGTCAAAATTCCAAGATGGCAGCACGCTGTGTGCTGGGGTATATATGGACCTCTCTTTCTGGTGTTAAATGTGTGGCCAGCAGCAGCAATTTGTGTGCCTGTTCTATGAGCTCAGGCGTACAGTAATTCCCTGTGTTTGTATTTGTCAGGATGTCCTGTTGCTCAGTCAGTTCATCAGGTCTGATGAAGGTATTTTGCCTTGTAGAGTCTCTGTGCCCAGGCGCACCGCAAGATCGCCATCTGTGTACAGATGGCTCACAGAGCAGGTACGATGCTGTGTGTGGGTGTCTGCTCTGGATACACAACTATTGTGAAATGTATTCTCTTCAAAGTGGTAAAAGTACTCTCTTTTCTACTCCAGGTCTGCTCCCAGATCACAAACCAACTCTACCAGAGGAACACATCCCAAAGAAGCCCAAGCCACAGCTCAACAGGTAACAAGTGTGTTTGACCCCTTCAGTATCTCAGTATCTACCCTCTCACACCTGTATTGTTTCTTGTTAGACCTCTCATTACATTACCTAACTATTCTGCATCCCCTCTCTGGCTAACTCACACCTGTGTTGTTGCATCAGATATCTGACTCACTGGTTCATTGATTTGGTGAAGCCCATCTATAGGGCGGAGCTGAAGTGGTGTAAAAAGCGCATCTCTGTCAGCCACCCAGCTCTCAGAAACAACGTACAATACGGCAAGGGAATCCTCTACCTAAAACATTGATGACCTGGGGGCATGTAAACTCACAGCAGCAGGAGTCAGTGTGGGTGGGACAGACATGGGGTGCAACAATTCTATTGGACGTCCTTCCTTGTAGTACTCCTGGCCCATTTGGAACTCCATTGACTTTGAAAACTAGCCATTGGAAAAGCTGGGGGAGCGTCTGTTTTTGTCCAGCCTATTTGTCTATTGGTGGACATTGCCCATTGGAACGAGTCATTCGGAGCAGTACCCAGAAACCCATTCTGTCATTTGACCTTTGAAGATGCCCTGAAACAAAACTATTCAAAACTCCACATTTAGGGCTCTATTCAATCCGCATCGCAGCAGTTCAGCTTTACAGCGTGATTGAAATTTAAAGGCAATGTTCCCGCTTTACCAGAGACTGCATTCACGGTAACCGCTGCATATGTCGGCTCAATCGGGAATGACCTTTACATTTCTATTGCGGAATCTGTAACGCTTCAGCTTTACAGATTGAATAGAGCCCTTACTGTAAGATCAATTGGGTCAGTGTTACACTGTTTCAATGTAGGTGGGATGTTGACATGGTGTACTTCAAGGCAACCCAGATGTGCAAATAAAACGTATCTACTTTCTCTCCCTCCACCATCTGTTTACTGTGTGGGAGTAAGCATTTACTGGGCCTATTAGCAGGAAGTGAATGTGGAAGTAAATCACAAACAATGAATGATTTTAGTTTCTGTTTATTTACTTTAAATAACAGGAAAGAAACATCTCTTGCATAAATAGAACTCAGTTTTGGGTGGGGATGAAACACTGCTTGCTCAGATGTATCTCACTGGCTCTTTAAAGCATGAAGGGCAGGTCCAGGTTCTTGAGTCCGTCGCCCATGTAGATGTATCCATGCTGGGGGGTCATGGGTACGTGGAAGAAGGTCAGGCCCAGCCACAGCATACTGCGGATCACACACACTGTGCTGCCACGCTCAAACTGCAAGCTCCACGACCCTACACATTCAAAAATATATGGGTTATGAAGACTATCACACAAACTGCTGCGCCTCCATGACCTTTCATAAACGGAGACCATGTACAGGTCTCACATTACTCCCTCATTAACTGACTCCACTATTCCCTATGTAAAGAAGTCTACACAGCAAAAAGGTAACAGTTGGCTGATAGCTCAATAATTTAGAAGGGTTCAGTAGGCCCTTTCCCTGAATCTACATATCAGGGTGGCCTGGCGGAGCAGCTGTCTGCTCATGGCCATCACCCATAGCCAGAGAACACTTAATGCTGAATGGGAGCCTAGCAGAATTCTCACAACAGATTCACTGCACCATTAATCAGAAGGCTCCAGGACTTGTTGGAAATCATTAATTAATCTGGAACCTCACAATTATCAAAGCATTAAACATGAAATGAAACCTTGTGCCAGAGCTATCTAGGAAAAACCTTGAGCCAGAGCTATCTAGGAACAGCGATTTCAGTAAATTGGGTCTGTTGTTCTGATATACTGTTTTTCTCTCGTATTTCAGTTTCACAATGCTATGGGGTGGGAAATTAAATGAAACATTTTGCAAGAGCTATCTAGAAACATAGATTCCAGAAATTGTGTTTATTGGGAGGTGTTTCACAATGCTCTTTGTCTACGGGGTGGGATTCATCTTCCATGACCCAAAGACACTCTCCTGCCATGATGACGTGATTTGAGAAGCTGTTCAGCAATGGTGTCCAGATAAGTCTACTTTCCACTGAAACGCACACTGGCGGTTTCAAACTCACATGTAGCATAAGGAGGAACCCAGTAGGAGAACAGGCATGGAAGGGGTATTGCCACATACTTCCAGGCAAGTCTGGAGGATCGCTGTGGTGAGAGGAGTAGCTTTACTCAGGGATCCCAGAGGAAAGCACCCATCTTTTAGTGGAGATCCACCATTTTCTCCTTAGAGACTGTCTTTAGTCTGGGTCTCTCGCTCCCTCCAGCAAAGGCTTGAGGCCTGGCCGTTAATGAGTTCTCAGTGAGGGTGATGCTGTCACTGGGACAGCTGTGTAATGTAAGCTGGTTTGGGAAAGCTATACAAACATGCACGCACAGGCACACTCATTCACACACCACAGAGATGCTCATCCCTTTGAATTGAACAGCTGTGATGTTTTAGACAGAGGCTCTGGACACACACACAGCAGTATCTATCACTTTTCCACAGCACCCACACCACAAACAAATTGTGATACATGTCTGTTTAGACAAAGTACAGTTTGATATCATCCAGCTATAAACTGAGTGTACAAAACATTAAGAACACCTGCTATTTCCATATACAGACTGACCTTGAGAAAGCTATGATCCCTTATAGATGTCACTTGTTAAATCCACTTCAGTCGGTGAAGGGGAGGAGACAGGTTAAAAAAATATTTTGAAGACAATTAAGACATGGATTATGTGTGTGTGCCATTCAGAGGGTGAATGGGCAAGACAAATTTAGGAGAGTGTTCTTAATGTTTTGTACACTCAGTGTGCAGTACTGTATTACATTTGCCATCTGTTTTGGTTTCTGGTTGAATCATGTTTGCTTCGCTTGTGAAAAAGATGGTGACTGTAGGTGGTGGGCCCAAAGGCTTGACCTAAAAGTTCGCTATATGACTATCTTAAGGGAAAGGCTGCAAGCTTTTTGTCAAGTCCATCCCAGATTGGGCACTGAAAAGTAGTTTGAATACTGCCCAGGGAATACTTCAACCATCTTCTAGAATCTATATTCCATCTGATAATGATCCATGATCAGTAGAGCAAGGCAGCCATTGGCAATTTGTTGGCCTGTTTATCCATTAAGCCTTGCTCATGTCCTCGCTACTGACCCACGGCAGGAGCTGCTGTTAGCAGATAGGCCCACAGTTGTCTGGTTTCAGACCAGGTCATAGCACCATCTCTGTTACTTCTTTGGTTTTTAATTGTTTGGTTTAGATGACACTGTGGATCACTCATTACTTATTCAGAGGCTTTCATCAATTGGCCTGGACCAGGCTGCATGTAGCTGGTTTGAAAAGGGCAGAACACAGTGTGTATTTACTGATGGTGTTAAATCAGATTTTCTGGAAATAACAAAGGGTGTCCCACAGGGATTGATTCTTGGTCCGGTTCTTTTCACTATTTCCATTAACAATATTGGTTTATCTGTAAAAACAAAATGTAACTTTCACCTGTATGCAGATAACACTGTGGTGTATGCTATTTCCCCCACAGCTGACCAGGCCCTGTCAGAGCTTCAATCTGTCTTTATTCTCCTGCAGAAAGCCTTTGTTGAACTGAAATTGGTACTTCATGCAGGTAAAACCAAGTATATTTTATTTTCCAAATCACGTTAAAATGTTTCTAATGATATACAATACCAGTCAAAAGTATGGACACACCTACTCATTCAAGGGATTTTCTTTATTTTTACTATTTTTTACATTGTAGAATAATAGTGAAGACATCAAAACTATGGAATCATGTAGTACCAAAGAAGTGTTACCCAAATCAAAATATATTTTATATTTGAGATTCTTCAAATAGCCACCATTTGCCTTGATTACAGCTTTACACACTCTTGGCGTTCTCTCAACCAGCTTAACCTGGAATGCTTTTCCAACAGTCTTGAAGGAGTTCCCAGATATGCTGAGCAGTTGTTGGCTGCTTTTCCTTCACTCTGCCATCCGACTCATCCCAAACCATCTCAAATGGGTTGACGTTGGGGGATTGTAGAGGCCAGGTCATCTGATGCAGCACTCCATCACTCTCATTCTTGGTAAAATAGCCCTTACACAGCCTGGAGGTGTGTTGGGTCATTGTCCTGTTGAAAAACAAATGATAGTCCCACTAAGCCCAAACCAGATGAGATGGCGTATCGCTGCAGAATGCTGTGGTAGCCATGCTGGTTAAGTGTGCCTTGAATTCTAAATAAATCACAGACAGTGTCAACAGCAAAGCACCCCCACACCATAACACCACCTCCTCCATGCTTTACGGTGGGAACTACACATGCAGAGATCATCCGTTCACCCACACCACGTCTCACAAAGACAAGGCGGTTTGAACAAAAAATCTCAAATTTGGACTCCAGACCAAAGGACACATTTCCACCGGTCTAATGTCCATTGCTCGTGTTTCTTGGCCCAAGCAAGTCTCTTCTTATTATTGGTGTCCTTTAGTAGTGGTTTCTTTGCAGCAATTCGACCATGAAGACCTGATTCACACAGTCCCCTCTGAACAGTTGATGTTGAGATATATCTGTTACTTGAACTCTGTGAAGCATTTCCTTGGGCTGCAATTTCTGAGGCTGGTAACTCTAATGAACTTATCCTCTGCAGCAGAGGTAACTCTGGGTCTTCCATTCCTTTGGCGGTCCTCATGAGAGCCAGTTTCATCATAGCGCTTGATGGTATTTGCGACTGCACTTGAAGAAACTTTCATGTTCTTGAAATGTCCCGTATTGACTAACCTTCATGTCTTAAAGTAATGATGGACTGTCATTTCTCTTTGCTTATTTGAGCTGTTCTTGCCATAATATGGACTTGGTATTTTACCAAATAGGGCTATCTTCTTTATACCCCCCTACCTTGTCACAACACAACTGATTGGCTCAAACGCATTAAGAAGGAAAGAAATTCCACAAATTAACTTTTAAGAAGGCACACCTGTTAATTGAAATGCATTCCAGGTGACTACATCATGAAGCTGGTTGAGAGAATGCCAAGAGTGTGCAAAGCTGTCAGCAAGGCAAAGGGTTGCTATTTGAAGAATCTTAAATATAAAATATATTTTGATTTGTTTAACACTTTTTTGGTTACTACATGATTCCATATGTGTTGTTTCATAGTTTTGATGTCTTCACTATTATTCTACAATGTAAAATGTTTTACAAATAAAGAAATACCCTTGAATGAGTAGATGTGTCCAAACTTTTGACTGGTAGTGTATGTATACTTACTTTGGACGGTGCCCCGCTTATAAATACAGTGCTGTGAAAAAGTATTTGTGCCCTTTCTAATTTTCTCCACTTTTGCATATTTTTGATACTGAATGTTTTCAGATCTTCAACCAAACCTAATATTAGATAAAGGGAACCTGAGTGAACAAATACCCGTCAGGGATGGCTTACCCTGGAGATCCCTTCAATCTCCACGAGTTAGGTAAATCTGAGTTTCTTTTTTTTGCACCTATAATGTGGATTGATCGCCAAAAGTCCTTAAAGTTGGTAGATTTGGTTCGTTTTGTGTTTGCTTTCTTATGTATTGTGTAATTGATGTGTGTATAGATATGTATGGTGTAACTGTTGTTTATAGATGTGTTTGACAAGTCTCACTTAGGGCCCCCAAAAGGCCAGAGCTGGCCCTGCAGAGGAGGATGCCTTGATAGTTTCCTCACAGAAAAACTGGGCTCTCAACTGCCAACCCAAATTATCATTAGCGCCAATTAAAAGGCTAGTCTAGTATAATAGTGCATAGCCATCAGAGCATGCCAAACATTAGTAATCTCATGTTCGTATTACATTTTTGTCTCCCACAAAAGTGCTGTACTTTTCAAGGAACTGGTTCTATTTCTAGAGACAGACAACATGTGGGAAGGAAACCCATCCCATGGGAGGAACGGTAGGATGACTGCACCTGTTACAATGGTCCTGGTAAAGGAGTGGTGTAGTGAGAGATTTGGAACTCTATTACCTTTGGGGATATCCTCACTCAAAGGATCCAGGAAGTCGATGGAGGGGTTGAGGTCAGCCATCTCCAGGATGGATTTCTTCTTCAGTTTCTGCGGCTCAGTGAAGTGCAGGAAGCAGCTGAGTTTACCCGCCTCCAAGGAGGACAGACCTGCAGAATAGACAGAACACACACAGACTCACTCATTCACTCACTCAGTAACTGATAGCATGATATGATTCTGTCTGTATGAGAAAAAAAAAACTAAAACGTGTGTGTACACTACAGACACACATGCACAATGTGCAGTGTGTGATAAATGATGGTCTGGATTCTGGTTCCAACTTCCAACACACCCAGACACACTCAGCGCTAAAAACTACACAGCTGAGTCATCCTTTCCAGGCAGTAACACACACAGCTGTGTCCCATCTCTCCACACACAGTCAGACCACATTCTCAACTGGGAACCACCACACTCTACGTGGAGCCATCCATTTCATTAATGACTTTGAAAATTAGCTTTACCCTCAAAGCTGCGGTTGGTCTGCACCAGGCCATGGGGACTCTTGATGAAGGCGCCGCGCGGGACCACAGACACCTCCTTATCAATGGTGTGGACCGTGGAGGCCAGCCTCTTCTCCTCTTTCACCTTAATCTGCAACACAAACCAAACAACCATTACCAAACATCCAAACAAACTAGTCTTCACTCTTCTGCAATAATACCACACACAGTCACGACGGTCATATGAATCCAGTCACTGCACATTAATCACTGACACTTATTTATAAGCAAAACACCATTAGCTCAACATTTAAACAATATCATTCTTCATCACCATGATTTCCTCCTCCACAGCCTCGTCCCCCTCCCCTTGCCGCCGTATCTCGGTGTGCTCATACTCATGTGAGGGGTCTCCCACGAAGCGACCCTTTGCTGCAGCAGACACTTCTGCTAGCATGGCCTCAGTGGCAGGGGGAAGCAGGTGCCAGTCCACACAGTTGAAACTGGAGTATGGAGAGGACACAAACACGTGGGCAAGAGGGCACACATACACAGAGAGAGAACATATTGAACAGGAGAATGGTTCTCAACTCCAAAGCCACAAGTGACAACATCAACTAAATGCAAGCTAGCTATAATAATATTCCTGTGGTAAAATAGACTAGAGGCTCTAAAACTATTTCATTTGTACCTCTTACCTGTAAAGGCTCTTTTTATCCGTCATCTCATCCTCTGAAACCCCCTGTGCAATGAAATAGTCACCCTTTATGCCCAGAATCTTGCCCCAAAACAGGATACGGTTGAATTTGTTGTTCCTCTTCAGAATGACCAGGGAAGTCTGCAGGGCAGCTTTTTGCTCACTGCTCAAAGTTAAACCGCTACCAGAAACGAGGTCCAAAGAGTAGTATAACGTATTGGAGTCCATTTGTCTCACTGAAAAGTAAATACTTTTCTATAAAAAAGAAGGCAAAATGTTTGCTAGTTTACGCAGGGACAGCTGCCAAGCACGTCCGGTTGCTAATGTAAACAAATCTCCCTAGTTACGTGTAGTCATAGCAACTGCTGACTGCTCACCGAAAAAAATAAGCTGCGTTCCAGACCGTCTACAAAGCAGTTGCGCTGCACAAATTAACTAGTTTGAGATTGAATTAGTTAAATTCTCAATCTGATCTTCAACACTTCTGGCATGCAAGACAAATTCTATTAAATACAAAGTACTGTTGGCTCTAAATCAGTAACAATCTGCTACTTACTTGTCTTAGGCTACCTATCCTCATCTCATATTTTTGTAATTTACAGTCTTAGCTACTTCAGATATTTCAGTGTCGAGAGTGAAGAATGGGGGAGATTTCCAAGGCCTTTCCTTCAAGTAACAGCCAGAAACCTGTTCTTCTGAGCTCCTGAGAGGTTTCCCAATGCTTTCTGATTAATGGGTCTGTCTGCATGAGTTCGTTCTCACCCATTAGCTGTGGATTGGGAGAGAGTGACAGAGAAAAGTGAGAAAGAAAGAGAAATGTTAAACCCAGTGCACAGCTGGCAGAATGCATGCTCAAAATCCCACTAATGCTACAGCGTGACACAAAGGAGGATAGGACACTGCATCAGTGGGTTCATGTCCCTCGATCTGTGTACTTATATACATGTCATGTACATAAATAAGTATGTGTATATAGGCCCTATTTTATATATATTATAGGATTGCCATATTTTCCCACCATCGTAACTTTATAGTGTGAGATGGGGAATTCTCAAGGCCGAAGGTACACTTGCTTATACAGTTCTCTTTAAGCCACAAGCCATAACAGCAGCAAAGGAGCTGAGAGGGCCTTTATGAGCTAGAGCTCTCCTATGACTCTAACTCACCATAACTTACCAGCTCAAGACAGCTTCTCATCCTCTCACCCCTGAGTCTGTCTGAGATCTCACAACGAGGATTTGGGACCGGAAAGAGAGCAGAGAGGATGCAACAGAAAGGAGGAAGAGAGGGATTAGGGAGGAGATGGTAAAAGAGGGATAGTGCTTGAAGAGTGGGGATAAAGAAGGAGAAGAGAGAGATACTGTATGGAGACAGAGATAAAGGGAGGGAGATGTAGCAGGAAACATGAAGAATGTGGGATGATAGAGGAAGGAAATAGACACTGAAATCATTTGAAGTTGCAGCACTGTAATTTCAGACTGTTCTGTCTTGGTGAATGTTAATGTTCTACACATCTGGCAACTCTGTGGGAACAGTGTTTCAACAGCGCCCCCCTTAGGCAGCAGGGGTACATGTCCCTGATAGCATAGGGTAGTTTGAAACAATGTCCCTCTTAAAAACAAGAATGCCATCTTTTAATCCCAGCTGAACATGACCCCTTAAATCACTTGATTATTTCTACCCTTCAATACTGATTTAGGCTCAGCCCTCCCTACATCTCTCCTAACCTTTACCGTCACAAGCCGAGCAAAAGAACTGACTCTGAAGCAGTTGTTAAGGCTCAGTAGGTAACCCTGTTCTCATAAATCCTGCTCTGTATTCTCTTCCCATTCTGTCCTGGCTGGCTGTTCCCATGCCTTCCGTGGGCCACCAGATCCTTACCGTTTCCAGGGCTCTGTGCGTTTGGTGTAATTGCCGAACAAAAGGACCTGGCGGGCCGGAATCACATGCTACCGCCTCGGTGGAGACTTCAGCCCCCTCCCTCATCCTCCCTCCCTCACCCCCATTCCTTGTCCTCCCCCTGGCCCCGACTGCAGCCAGAGAACACAAAGAGACCAAGTGGGGTGACTTTTCCTTTTCCTTTTGTCCCCACAGACCAGCCGTGCCTGTGCACACACTCTCTCACACAAACTTACACAAATATATACACAGGTGCAGCTTCACATTCTGCATACTGTAACTGCAGATGAGCAGGTACTCACACAGTCATACCCAAACACACTAATGTGCAAACACTTTCAACACACATCTCCCTATGACAACTACCTATGGCTCAGTTGGTAGAGCATGGCACGTGCAATGCCATGATTGTGGATTCCCGAGGCCACCCATACATTAAAAAAAATCTGCATGACTAAGTTGCTTTGGATAAAAGGGTCTGCTAAATGGCATATATCTTACCCTTAGAAGGCTTTGGCAGTTGAGGTGGACATTTTTTCTTTTTCAGGAGAGGAACCCCCCCCCCCCCCCCAAGATGTTTGAAGGGGTAAAACATCGCCCCCACCTCCCTGAACTTGGTGTTGGTGGGCTGTGGTCCCGCTCCTATGGGAACCTCACCTCCCAGGCGACCAGCGTTGCCAAGGAACTAATCCTGAGGGACAAAAGGTGGGAACGGTGTAGAATAGGATGCCTCTATAGCATCTGATTGGTTGGCATTGGGCCACGCGATCGCCTGATTGGCTTGAACTAAGTTTAGATACAAACTCATAGGGACAGAGGTCAGATCCATCGATCATGGCGGTGACATGAAGAGTGATCCCCCCCATGGAACTAACATGGTTTTTACCCATTCAACACACCACACACACCAACCCTCCATCTTGCGATTACTCTCGCATATCCCCGACCTTGGAGAAACGTAAGCCTATAGGCAGCGAAGCATTCAAAGATTGAGGAAGAAAGCCGTCTGGCTCGAGAGACTATCTTGCGATAGGCCATGTGTAAGTTCTTTGCCCTGAGCTGAGAGTAGACAGAAAGATTGAGGAAAGAGAATGCGGGAGAGAGATTACTTAATAAAGAAGTGTCTGTGGTGTAATGAAGCACAAATACACAATGCCAAGAATGTGGTGAGGACCCTGGGTTCGATGGGTTTGTCACACACACGTAGATAAGCACATGTGCGAATGTACACACACCTGCACGTACGCGCGTACACACTCCTTGCAGCAGTAAATCTGGATTAGCAGTGGATAAATGTCTTGATCCAGACTAGGACTGCAGCCCAGTCTCAAATGCTCTGTGATCCCCTTCACATGGTGAATGATACTGCCTTGCCCTACACCTACAGATTTCCCACTTCAGTATGATCGGCTAATTGATTGAAACGTTTTCACACACTCCTTCTGCTGCAGCCCAAACCCAACTGTGTCAGAACCAAGGCACTGTCTGTGGTCTGACCGCTGGTCAGGTCAGGGTAAGGCCTCACTGTGATGTTTGACTGCTTCTTGACTGCTGGGTCTGGAGTAGGCAGGTTCCCAGGCTCCTTTGCGCCTAACTCCATAGTACTTCTGCTCTACTGAGCTGGCAACCAACTGGTGCTTTCCCCTCTGCTCACCAGCAATACCGACTTTCACACACAACATGCACCTACAAACACACATATCAAGCATAACCAGCAAGGTCACCCGTGATACAAGTCAGTATTCGACGTCCATCCATGTCTGAGGACGTCAGGAGATGAAGTGGAAACTGGCCACTAGGGGCAAGAGTGAGCGCTGTTACCTTCAAGTAGGTGGGCGGTGATTGTGGATGGGTGTAAGCATCTGCCTCTTATTCAAAAGGTTGCGAGTGCAAATCCAGCGATAGAAAGTTGTTTTTTATATTTTTGTTTTAAGCCTAACCCAAACCTTAACCATTCAGAGTTAATGCCTAAACTTAACCCGAACCTTAAAAATTCAGAGTTAAACTAAACCTTAAATACTTCAGAAATTTGACGTTTAGAACATCTAAATTTGACGTTGAGAAACAGACTGTAAGAGCTGGTAGAGCATTACACCAATTCCAACACCTCTCCAAGGGGGACAGACACACAACAGACATCCACTCTCACACACATCTCTTTCCCAATTCATCCTTAGTGCTCCCAGATGGCCTGCAAGCAATTAGAGCCCCCGCAAACTCTTTCACTGTACCAAAACTCTCATGTTTCTTCTCGTGTGTGTCATAAACAGGCATAGAGATCTGAATGGTAGTTAGCACATTTGCTATTATGAGTTGCTGGAGCAAATTATTGCCTGTCGTCTCAATGGCTCTTTAATTGCCTTCTGGGTGTTCAGCTACCAATTACCCAACCACACTCCAGGGAGGTACAGGCTAACACCAGTAATCCATTCTGATGAAATCTACTATTTATTACCCACCCACACTCTCCCTTTCTCATTCACAATCACCAACACACCCAGCCTTAACATAATGAGGGAAAATGTTTTCAATTCTTGTGCAACTGAAAATCTCTGTCCAACAAGCAACACCAAACAAACCTGATAACCCATGTGCTCCTTGAGCGTCCAACAGTATAATGTCTTGAGGGCCCCCTAAATAAAGGTGTATGCATATATACAGGTATGTGTGTATGCATGTTTGTGTGTAGTTATTCACGTGTGTACAGTACATGTGCGAGGGATGGTGTCTAAGCTTAATCCTGCCAAAGGTTCTTTCCCAGTCTCTAGAGTTGCCTGTTACACAATGGTGAACTCGCCCTGCTTTATGTTGTGTCTTTGTCCATGATTGAGAGACATCGATTGCAGAGCTGAGTTCAACAGATTACCCCTGGGCTAAAGTTTGTTTTGCTGATTATTCTGTTGGTTTAAGAGGCTTTTGGGGGAACTGAACTATATTATGTACTTCTCTGTGTGTGTGTCACATCTAATTAACAGTGAATTAAGTGTCAGTGGTAAAACTACAAAATCAAGACATTAATTTGAAGTAAGCCAATAAGAACCACTTCTGCAGCTAGTTACTGTTCCTGATATGTTCCATTCATTCCCCCCAAAAAACAAGGTGAACTTACACTGATCCTAATCTAATAACAAAACACTATTTTTCTGCTCTATGAAAAGCCTCCACCCAGATATCTGGCATGCTTAGCACTTCATTAACCATCTTTAACTACTCGGCCAATCGCTTGTACTAAAAAACATGTTACCTAGAAGAGTCCTTTTGAAAACTGATGCACCCTAAGGACAAGACACTGTTGAAGCTAATGCTAAATACTAATAGAACATTGTCACGCAGTGCCCCCTATGGCTATGGACACAATACTTACTTACACATTAACAACTTATTCGGCACAAAATCTCAAACATTAATAATGATCAACAAAAGCTCAATTTATTAACCATTTGACATTTCAACACAATATATTTAACACTGAGAAGTTCCATGCTGTTCATATGCACATAAATAGGCCTAATCTCATTCATCATCAATAGTTATATCAATTCATGACAGATTGTGTCATGGTTCAAAAGCCTGATAATTAAAAATCTATAATAATGTTAAATATATCAGCTTAATATAAAACATTTTGGTTTAAAACATGATTCAGTCAAAATGAAATAAGTTCCTTGTTAAATAATACAAAAACTATTTGTAAAAACTCTGAAATTTGAAAACATGATTTCCATTTACAGTACCTATAAAAAGGTACAAATAAAATCTTTTGAATGGTTAATATTCCTTTACATCTTGACAGTATCATTCATATCCTATGCATAATGCTAATGAACAGGCAAGTTAAGCTTCTTACCAACAGTCACAATGACATAATAAATAATTAATCACTGGTGCACTATGGTAAAATGTTCTATATTTGATTTACTTTAGAAATGTTGTGCTTTTGGTTCCAAATGGAAGGTTACTGTAGAAGAAAAGTCACTCAGTATGGGGTATGAAGTCCAGGTCTTGAGGTATGCAGTACTGCTGGTTTTACTGTTCCTCTGGTGGTTAATTGATTGATTGTCATTGGTTGGCCTGAATCAGAGGGTAATCAGGCATTCATAACAGGTAAACAGAGAGGAAGGATTAAAAGCAGCAGTACTGCAGACCTTGAGGTCCAGATTTGAAAGGCTTAGTACAAGTAGTTTAACGTGGACACTAACTACCATGCAACAAGAGTGCCCTCTGTTGGTCAGAGAAACAAAATGCCTTCTATTCTGGCATTCTGGATATCAAACGCAAACTCAGTGGAAATGCATGGCATGGCAGTTTTTCCCAATGTTATGCTATAAAAGCATTTTTGGCAAAACTGTCTTGGGGCTGGATAGTCTTTAGCCAAGGCAGTCCTTATAGGCAGGTATTTGTAAAAGGGTCAGATTTGGGCATTTCTGACAGAAGACTTGGCTCCTGAGTGGCTGCCAGCTCTTGGTGGTGCCTTGGCAGAGTTGTCTCAGGAGGCCTGTAACAATGTCTTCTCTCCTCCCCTCCTGGAAAGAATCACTGATGGAGCACTATTGAATAAGTGAAAGCAAAGGCTCTACTTTGACCTATCTATTGATATCAGATACATGCTAAGCTTGATGAAAGGGGAGAGAAAGGATGCATTTTTAGGAGTATTGGAAGGGCCTGTGTTGGATAGTACAGCAACAGATTTGAGGATACACTCCCCTATGCCAACACCTCAGTTCTGGGGTGACCCACCAGGGGGCAGCATCTCAGGTTCAGGGGTTCAACAGTTCATCATCTACTGGGCTCTGACAGGCTGGGCTGCTGTCTGTGGTCCCGTATGACTGGGGGGTTTTACACCCATCTGGTGACGTAGAGGGGGACTCAGGGGACTCTGTTCTAAGCACCCTTGGAAGGTAGACCTGTGGACACAGAGAGATACATGTGCAGAAGGGAGAGGGGAAAAGTGAAGGGGATATCTAGTCAGTTGTACAACTGAACGCATTCAACCGAAATGTGTCTTCCGCATTTAACTCAACCCCTCTGAATCAGAGAGGTGCGGGGGGCTGCCTTAATCGACGTCATCGGCACCCGGGAAGCAGTTGTTGTTGGGGGTTAACTGCCTTGCTCAAGAGCAGAACGGCAGATTTTTTTCCCACCTTGCCAGCTCGGGGATTCGAACCAGCGACCTTTCGGTTACTGGCCCAACACTCTTAACCGCTAGGCTACCTGCCGCCTAGACTGAGACAGAAATGATATATGATATGTTCTGAAACTCTTAAATTGGCTTTTGTTTCTACGATTAACTTCCTCATTTTTGTGAGAACTGAGCAGAACTGGGAGAGGGGTACCACCATATTGCTTCCCCCATTCCAAACAGATTTGAACTTCCGTCTATAAATGAATGGCGAAGGAATAAACCTGTTACTGACCATGTTGCTGTCCGCCAATCCATCCACGGCATCCTCATCCTCCTTCAACTGCAGATAGAACAGGGACTGTTAGTGTCTAAAATATACACACACAAGAACACATACATGAACACACAGCTCACCTTGTAGTTGTGAGGGCTGAGGTACTTGAAGTGTCCGAAGCAGGTGTAGCTGATGCAGATGCAGACAGTTACACACAGGACCACCAGAGTGAAGACAGATGTGTCCGCCTTGAATCCTGACCCCAAAACACACACAGAAGGAGGATACGTTAAAAATGGTTCTTTAACTCAAGCAGGTAACTGCAGGGAAACAGCCACGTTAGAAGAGGAAGGAACATAGGTATGAGAGCTCCAGTAAATATCCAGTTGTGTGCATTACCTGTCCGGAGGACGGAGAAGAAATAGAGCCAGATGAGGCAGATGATGGGTGCGGCCAGGGCTTGATTGACAGCTCCCAGGTGCACCTGTCTGTCCAGGCGGGCGGGCAGGTAGGCAAAGTACAGGTTGTGTTTGTCCACTAGATGCTTCAGCATCAGGTACAGCAGACCTGAACACACAGAGAGGGAATGTAACTTTAGGGCAAGGTCAGTAGTATGTGTGTGTGTGTGTGTGTTGCCCATCACTCACCGAAAGGCACTATGACAGGGCAGATGATGCTGTAAGCCATGATGACAGTGAACACACACAGGGTCCACCCGTACATGGCTCCGTACTCAAACTCATACGCCTGGTTCTGCAGACAGACAAGGTTAAATCACACATCATCTGAATTTCATCCATGACTACGTAGATAGAAAAAGCTAAACACTTAGCTAATCATTCCATACTAATCATGCATGACAGACTGTTGTCTATCTGAGGTTTCTGTAACGTTGAGCCCACCTGATTGATACAGAGGCGGAGTCTCACCTGTTTGACATACTTCCTCTCTGCGGCGGAGCGAGCCAGAGCCATGCGAATGGTGTAGAGCAGTAACCCTGGCAACCGTAGCAGCTCCATCCCAGAACCCACCAGGCCCGCCGTGATTACATAGTTCACAAAGAACGCCCCCTGGTCAGGCAGGAACACACACCTGGTAGAGGGGAGGGGGAGATGAGAGGGAAGGGGGCGAGAGAGAGAGAGAGTTGGTGACAGAAGAGGAAGTGAGAAATGGACACAGTAAATTAGATACTAGTTATTATACAGGGACACAGTAAATATATGAGAGAGAGAGAGAGAGAGAGAGGGGTGTAGATCACTCACTCAAACCTCAGCTTCCCATCAGCCAGAAACTCTTTGTCAAACAGCCAGCGGAAGAACACAGCCAGACTGTGGTTAGAACAGAGAGCCACAATCACATAAAAATATAAATGTAGTTCAATTACAGAAAAAAAACACAATTTTATTTAATATTTCATTGATTATCTGGAATGATCATTAAGTGATCAGGGTGGGGTAATTGATTACCTGGTGAGTCCAAGAGAGGGCAGGATTAGAACCATAAACAGGAGGAAGATGTACAGCTTGTGCATCATAATCAACTGCTCACTGGACCTACAGTACATAGATACAGTATGTCAGTGTGTGTGTGTGTGTGTGTGTGTGTGTGTGTGTGTGTGTGTGTGTGTGTGTACCTGCTCCAGTGGCACTCTCCCAGAGTTGAGTAGTACACTATGGTGGGCAGCAGGGCAGAGAAGGACCACAGAAGCAGAGTCGGCAAGAACTGACTGACCACAGCACTCTGTCTCACACACACAAACACACAAATAGACATTACATGATAGCATATATGATAGTATACAATTCAAAACTAATTGAATACACAACATGAGCAACAGCATTCCTCTCATCTCACAGACCAAATACAGTTCTATTCTAGTAGAAGGTGACGGACTCACGTTGAGGTAGTAGATGGGCTTGGTGACGTTGAACTTGTCTATGGTGCTGATGATGATGGAGGGAGTGGTGAGGAAGGTGAGGAGGAAGAAGAGGAAGAAGTTGAGCAGCAGGCATCGGAACCACCAGCGGAAGCCCCGCACTGAAAGGTTGTCCCTGGAACAGACAAAGAGACAGAGACAGAAACAGAGAAAGAGGAAAACAGCAGAGAGAGGACAACAGAGATGATAATTTTCAACATGACAGAATGTACTGAACCATCGTTATCAAACGGCACTGTAGGTTAGGTTATAGGGGAACTCACCAGTACACATTTCTGGGATGAGGGGCGTAGTCAACCCTCCAGTTCCTCACTTTCAGAGCCGCGCTATTGGACGAAAGCTGGGTCTCTCGGCCACACCCACACCTCACTGCGCTGCCCCCATCTCCACAGTCCAGGGCATTGAAGTCCTTCAGAATGCTGAGGGGAGTGAGTGACAGCTGTCAAACATCATGTTTACATAACCCAAGAAAGTGGATACATCAACTAATATTGTTTCCACTAATGATGGTATAGTCATCAATTCCATGTTTATTTTCCTGTTGGGCTGGAACAAAAGCCTGCACACCCTGTAGCTCTCCAGAGCTGGGGATGTTGACCACTGCTTTACACACTATTGAGAGACGTAATCTAAGGTTGGAGAATCATGTCTTAAAACTACAATATTGTTCTATCCCATCATCAATATAACCCTTAGCCCAGCCACTCCACAGAGAAAGGAAACTCACTATGTGGCCATGGCCTCAGACTGCAGAGTGACGAAGGCCATCCCTAGAGGGTGCTGTGGCACCAGCTCTCTCTGCTGCCTCACCTCCTCTAACAGACCTGCCTGGAGGCGCCGGTAGTGCTCTATGGCATCTACCTAGAGACACAGAAAACATACACATTACACTAATATATATATAAAAATATAAAAAGTATTTGATCCCCTGCTGATTTTGTACATTTGCCCACTGACAAAGAAATGATCAGCCTATCATTTTAATGGTAGGTTTATTTGAACAGTGAGAGACAGAATAACAACAACAAAATCCAGAAAAACGCATGTAAAAAAATGTATAAATTGATTTGCATTTTAATGAGGGAAATAAGTATCTGACCCCTCTGCAAAACATGACTTAGTACTTGGTTGCAAAACCCTTGTTGGCAATCACAGAGGTCAGATGTTTCTTGTAGTTGGCCACCAGGTTTGCACACATCTCAGGAGGGATTTTGTCCCACTCCTCTTTGCAGATCTTCTCCAAGTCATTAAGGTTTCGAGGCTGACGTTTGGCAACTCAAACCTTCAGCTCCCTCCACAGATTTTCTATGGGATTAAGGTCTGGAGACTGGCTAGGCCACTCCAGGATCTTAATGTGCTTCTTCTTGAGCCGCTCCTTTGTTGCCTTGGCCGTGTGTTTTGGGTCATTGTCATGCTGGAATACCCATCCATGACCCATTTTCAATGCCCTGGCTGATGGAAGGAAGTTCTTACCCAAGATTTGACGGTACATGGCCCGTCCATCGTCCCTTTGATGCGGTGAAGTTGTCCTGTCCCCTTAGCAGAAAAACACAGCAAAAGCATAATGTTTCCAACTCCATGTTTGACGGTGGGGATGGTGTTCTTGGGGTCATAGGCAGCATTCCTCCTCCTCCAAACACGGCGAGTTGAGTTGATGCCAAAGAGCTCGATTTTGGTCTCATCTGACCACAACACTTTCACCCAGTTCTCCTCTGAATCATTCAGATGTTCATTGGCAAACTTCAGACGGGCATGTATATGTGCTTTCTTGAGCAGGGGGACCCCTTGTGGGCGCTGCAGGATTTCAGTCCTTCACGGCGTAGTGTGTTACCAATTGTTTTCTTGGTGACTATGGTCCCAGCTGCCTTGAGATCATTGACAAGATCCTCCCGTGTAGTTCTGGGCTGATTCCTCACCGCTCTCATGATCATTGCAACTCCACGAGGTGAGATCTTGCATGGAGCCCCAGGCCGAGGGAGATTGACAGTTCTTTTGTGTTTCTTCCATTTGCGAATAATCGCACCAACTGTTGTCACCTTCTCACCAAGCTGCTTGGCGATGGTCTTGTAGGCCATTCCAGCCTTGTGTAGGTCTACAATCTTGACCCTGACATCATTGGAGAGCTCTTTGGTCTTGGCCATGGTGGAGAGTTTGGAATCTGATTGATTGATTGCTTCTGTGGACAGGTGTCTTTTATACAGGTAACAAGCTGAGATCAGCTTGTTACCTGTATAAAAAGACACCTGAGAGCCAGAAATCTTTCTGATTGAGAGGGGGTCAAATACTTATTTCCCTCATTAAAATGAAAATCAATTTATAATATTTTTGACATGTGTTTTTCTGGATTTTTTTGTTGTTATTCTGTCTCTCACTGTTCAAATAAACCTACCATTACAATTATAGACTTATCATTTCTTTGTCAGTGGGCAAACGTACAAAATCAGCAGGGGATCAAATACTTTTTTTCCCTCACTGTAGATACACACACACATTCTATATATCACCCACCTAGACAAAGCAAAATATCACATTACACTCAAGACAACCCTGAAAGTGTGGGTTCACAGCTCCAATCCTGATGTTTTGGTCATTACTGAAACGTGGTTAAGAAATAGTGTTTTGAACACTAATGTTAACCTTTCTGGTTATAACTTTTTTCAGCAAGACAGATCTTCCAAATGGTGGTGGAGTGGCAATCTTTACCAAGGAACACCTTCAGTGCTCGGTTGTCTACACCAAGTCTGTCCCCGAACAATTTGATCTGCTGGTTTTAAGCATAAAACTTTCAAATAGCTCTTTGTTGACTGTTGCTGGGTGTTATCGTCCACCATCAGCACCGGCCTGTACCCTAAATGCCCTAAGCTCTCTCCTGGCCCCTTACACCAAGTCTGAATTTGTCCTGCTAGGTGACCTCAACTGGGACATGCTTAAACCACCTGACCAAGTCCTAAAGCAATGGGACTCCCTAAATCTTTCTCAGATGATTACCAATCCCACAAGGTATGACTCCAAACACCCAGAAAAGGCTACTCTCCTTGATATGAACCTCACAAATAATAGGTATCAGTTTGGTGTTTTCTGTAACGACCTTCGCGATCACTGTTTTACAGCCTGTGTTCGTAATGGCTGCTCAGTGAAACGACCTGTCCTGATTTGTTATAGACGCTTGCTACAAAACTTTAATAAGCAAGCCTTCCTTCATTACCTTGCCTTTGTAAATTGGTATAGAATCAGCTTGATCCCCTCTGTTGATATTTTCAGTGGTATTGTTAACAAACACGCCCCATAAAGAAAAAACAGGTTCAGCCCCTGGTTCGACCGTGATCTGGCAGAGTTACTCCACCTCAAGAATTCCATTTGGCGAAAGTACCTGCACACGCATACTCAGGCTGACTGGCTCTCGTTCAGGCAAATGAGAAATAAGTGTACTCAGGCTATCCAGAAGGCCAAAGTTACTTTAGGGAGCAGTTCCCTCTCTGTGGGTCTAACCCCAAGATGTTCTGGAAAACGGTTAAAGACCTGGAGAATAAACCCTCCTCCTCACAGCTGCCCATGTCCCTTCATGTTGATGATGTGGTTATGACTGACAAGGGGCACATGGCTGAGCTCTTTAAAACACCACTTCATTAAGTCAAGATTCCTATTTGACTCAGCCATGCCTCCTTGCCCGTCCAACATTTCCTCAACTCCCAGTGCAACCTTAAAGGTCCTAAATGATGTCACCATTGCCCTTGATTCTAAGCAATGTTGTGCTGCTATTTGTATGGACTTGGCCAAAGCTTTTGATACAGTAGACCAGTCCATTCTTGTGGGCCGGCTAAAGAGTATTGGTGTCTGAGGGGTCTTTGGCCTGGTTTGCTAACTGCCTCTCTCAAAGAGTGCAGTGTATAAAGTCAGAACATCTGCTGTCTCAGCCACTGCCTGTCACCAAGGGAGTACCCCAAGGCTCGATCCTAGGCCCCACGCTCTTCTCAATTTACATCAACAACATAGCTCTGGCAGTAGGAAGCTCGCTCATCCATTTATATGCAGATGATACAGTCTTATACTCAGCTGGCCCCTCCCCGGATTTTGTGTTAAACACTCTACAACAAAGATGTATTAGTGTCCAACAAGCTTTCTCTGCCCTTAACCTTGTTCTGAACACCTCCAAAACAAAGGTCATGTGGTTTGGTAAGAAGAATGCCCCTCTCCCCACCAGTGTGATTACTACCTCTGAGGGTTTAGAGCTTGAGGTAGTCACCTCATACAAGTACTTGGGAGTATGGCTAGATGGTACACTGTCCTTCTCTCAGCACATATCAAAACTGCAAGCTAAGGTTAAATCTAGACTTGGTTTCCTCTATCGTAATCTCTCCTCTTTCACCCCAGCTACCAAACTAACCCTGATTCAGATGACCATCCTACCCATGCTAGATTACGGAGATGTAATTTATAGATCGGCAGGTAAGTGTGCTCTCGAGCCGCTAGATGTTCTTTACCATTCGTCCATCAGATTTGCCACCAATGCTCCTTATAGGACACATCACTGCACTCTATACTCCTCTGTAAACTGGTCATCTCTGTATACCCGGCGCAAGACCCACTGGTTGATGCTTATTTATAAAACCATCTTAGGCCTCACTCCCCCCTATCTGAGATACCTACTGCAGCCCTCATCCTCCACATACAACACCCGTTCTGCCAGTCATATTCGGTTAAAGGTCCCCAAAGCACACACATCCCTGGGTCACTCCTCTTTTCAGTTTGCTGACAGTTGTGGCTGCTTCACGTGATGTAATGTTGTCTCTACCTTCTTACCTTTGTGCTGTTGTCTGTGCCCAATAATGTTAGTACCATGTTTTGTGCTGCTACCATGTTGTGCTGCTGCCATGTTGTGTTGCTACCATGTTGTTGTCATGTGGTGTTGCTACCATGCTGTGTTGTCATGTGTTGCTGCCATACTATGTTGTTGTCTTAGGTCTCTCTTTATGTAGTGTTGGGGTTTCTCTCGTCGTGATGTGTGGTTTGTCCTATATTTGTGTTTTATTTTTTATCCCAGCCCCCATCCCCACAGGAGGCCCTCATTGTAAATAAGAATTTGTTAACTGACTTGCCTAGTTAAATAAATAAAAAAAACATACACAAATAGTACCCTAGGAACAACAGCGAGAGTATCATCAATGTGTGAAATATCTGACATATTCCTCCACAGTCACAAGACCCATCAGACTGAAAGACCCATCTGGATACACCAACCCAATCTCACAGCTAAACTTCCCCATATTCACCGTTCCTAATACAGCCCAGATCCCGCCACCCCTCTCCTGGCTTTCTCTTGGTATGGCCCATCTCACCTCCTGACAGTTGCGGGTGCGGCAGCAGCAGAGGTAACCACACAGACTGGGGTTGATCACCTCCCTCTGGCCCCCTCGCTCAAGAACCCGCTCGTAGTAGTGCAGGTTTTTCTCTGCTCTCTTCCTGAGAGAGAGAAAACAGGAATAGTGTAAAAGACGGGTAGGGAAGAATCAGTCAATTCAGACTGCTATATCTGACTATATGTCAGATAATAAAGAACTACATGCTATGCATTTCCGCAGCTTGGCAGTGTGAAGTTACCAGGGCAGTTTGGCAAAGCACTGACCTTTCCTTGTCCAAGTGCATCAGCTTGGCCACATCATAGGTCAGGTGCACGTCACACACACGGCAGGTAGGGTAGGCCTCACTGCAGAGAAGACAAGGGGGAGAATAGAGGTGATAAGGCACAGTGTCAAAATATATACAGGTAAATGTATGTCCAATGTTCATCCTTGTAAGCCATTGTCTGCCCATTCAGGCAAGTCAACACTAGTCAAACTGAATCACTTTTATTGCCATGGTGAAGACAAAGACACTACAGGTATGGGTGTAGGTTCTGAAGACAGGGTTAGTGGATGAGTGTGGACTCCCCGATGTTGGGAGAATGGTGCGGTCCAGTCTACTTACGTAAAGTGGGTCCTGATGCCCTCTTCACTGGCTTCTTTGGGGATGGAACACACAAACAGGGTGTTTCTGGTCTACGGGGGGATCAAAGCACACACATCAGTATCAGTACGAACTACTAGTGAGGGGATGAACTGTTGGTTTTGTGACAGTTGGAACAGAGGAAGTGACCAATTCTCTGCTCATGCCCTTTATCTGGGAGGGGGGTGTGTGTGTGTGTGCTTGTGCGTGCGCGTGAACTGACCAGCCCTCTGCCCATGCCCTTCATCTGGGAGGTGTGTCGCCTCAGCAGTAACACTGTCAGGATCAGGTAGATGACTGCAAACACTGTGTGTAGCCACAGCAGGTTATTACTGAGAAAATCATAACAACACACGGTTACCTTAAGCAATAAGGAACCATTGTTAAGGAAGTTAATATTAGACACAATGAAAGAACCACACATACATACACACACACACACACACGCACAGACACACACTTACTCCTTCTGAAGATTACCCACAGTAGTCCTTCCGAAGTTGTACGGGTCATTTCCTGAAAAAATATCATCATATCACACTTAAATCTCCTCAAGTGAGACTGTTAAAACATATAATTAAAACAGAATAAGAGGACTGACAGCAATGATGTTGTTCATTACAATGTTGAATGAGTATAAACGTTTAAAAAAATACTGCAATAGTTATGCTTCAGTCAGTGGTAAGTAACACCATTGTGTTGAAAGAGATTAACTGCCACATATCGGTGGTAGATAATGTAGTACAAAAGAGGACATTTATACTCTCGGTCTTGCTCTGGCAAAAGTTAGCAACGAAACAATATTGAGTTTACAGAGTGATTTGCATTGCAGAGTGTTATGTTAAACACTGTTTATACATCTGTTATGTTTGAGTAAAGTTCGAGTTATGTTATTGTTATAATGAAAGCACTGTTTGGCAGTGTTGTGTTTGGGTTCACATTGCATTGTGAGAGTGTAATACAGTGAGGTTCTTATATAGTAATATTGAGAGTTTTGTAACAATGTTGTGTTGACAGTGTGGTGTTTGCATTACATTAGCGTTGTGTTTGTGTTCCATTTTTACATTGTGTTGACATAGTGGGTGTCACACCCACCTAGCAGGTTACCAGACAGGTTGACAGGCAGGATGACAGTCACAGAGATGACGGTGACCAGCACCAGGAGGGTGATCAGGTGACGCTGGAAGGAGAGGTAGTGGACCGCGTCGATCCCACAACGCGCCTTGACCATCTCCTCACTGCAAAAATAAACACAAATTGAGGGCGCAACCTCAACATACGAAGACACCGACCCCCCCCCACCCCATACACACACACACACACACAGAGAGAGAGAGAGAGAGAGAACACTCACTCCATTCTGATGATGTAGGGGAGCCAGCCGCAGCATCCCTAGAGAGGAAAAAGAAAGATGATGAAGATGATTATTAGATGGAGATGATGATGATGATGATGATTATAACCTCTCCCTCACCAATTCGTGCTCCGGCTCCTCCCCGTTGGACACACAGGACGACATTCTCTCATAGCGGCGGTGTGATGTCTCACTGAACCTGAAATACAGACAGCTAAGATCATTATCACTGTGACAGGGCTGGGGGGGGTTAACAGGACACATCTCTATAGACAATTAATTCAACTATTGGCTGGCAGTAATACCCACTGCAGAATTATTTGTAGTCTTTTGCCTTTAGGTAGGTGTGTTTATATTGTTTTTCTCAGGTTTCAACAGGAAGTTATACTGTTTGATGTCATAACGGACCCTTCCCTGTCAGAGATCAGCGCCAGACGGCCGTAGTCCCACAGCTTCCTCCTGATGATGGAAAAGAGGATCAGCAACACCTGAGACAGGAACACAACAACGGAATGAGGAAATGGCTTCATTTGTGTGCATGTATTGTGTAACACTATCCCATTAGGGTTTGGAATCACCCTAATGTGGTCATATGAGTTTCAGTAGGAATGTCAGCTGCCGCAACACACAAACAAGCACACGCGCACACACACCAAGAAGACGCTGAAGTCCAGCAGCAGTACAACTGGCACCCCTCCAAAGCTGTTTCCCTTGAGGACGGTGCTTTCTGTGGAGCTGAAACAGCTGCTATTGTCCACATGATGTGCACTACCATTTTTCACCACCCCCCAAAGGGAAGCCATCACAGGAGCTGAATAAAAAACATTGTTCATATCAAGATTGTATCACAATGTGTCACTTCAACAACATGATAGACAAGTATTGGAGACTGGGCATTACATTACACATACAAAAAAAGTTTTTATCAGTGACAGCAATATTTTGTAAACACACTGAACAGCTGTTAGCTTAGCTTAATGTTTGCTAGCACGTAGCTAACTTAGAAAGCACGTAGCTAACTTAGAAATAAACACATGATAAAAATAGTTTGAGACAGCGACAAGTTGACAAATCCCTCTACCGCAAGCTAAACTAGTGCATTATAGTCTAGTGGTAGCTAAAACAAGAGTGGCAACATGAACTTCCGCAGTGTTTTTGTCTCGTCTCCAAATGTGCCAACACGACTAATAATGCATCAACCTGATTTGGTAAGACTTCTGAAGACAAACATACCTGGGGCAGCCTGTGATACTCGAAGTTACAGAGACAAAACTTTTAGCGGTAACAACACAGATAGAAGAAGCAACAAGGTTTTGGTCACTGGACCTTCTTTTTCTTTTCTTTTTTCTCCTACTCCTTCTTCTTGATTTGGTTGGCGGATCGGATCAAACTTTTAAATGCATTCCCCGCCACCTACTGTACTGGAGTGTGAGGCCAGTCATTAAACTATCTTCATTAGTCCTGTTCCTAAACACAACCACCTACACTCATTAAAAACCCACTACCCTATTCCACTACTTTAACCCCTCAACACACCCTGTAACTCTTCTGAAGTCAAATCTTGTATACCCAAAAACGTCTCTGCAGCTGCCACCACAACATTTATTTTCTGTGATTTACGGTACAGTTGATAACCATTGCTGTGATCGCTAAGAAGCCAACCTTACTGAAGCATAACTCACTCGTTGCCTGACTCTGGCAACTTCAACCTGCCTCTCTCGCACCGGACACTTCCAATCCCCAGCAGCATGAGCACCCCTACAGTTGACACACACAACTTTATCCACCAAAACGACAGAATACTCTGTCCCATGCCCTCCTGCACACTTCCCACATCTTGGAATTTCCCTCCTACACACTGCTGCAACATGACCATTAACGTTGCATTTGAAACAGCGCAGTGGATTCTGCACAAAAGCTCCTAACATGACTGTTTGGTAGAGACTCTGACTCAAAACTCACAAAAAAATACGGACAATGACTCCTCTGTTTCACCACACTCCCCAGCGGGTCTGAGTCGCACCAAACATCCGGCGTCACAAACACCAGGAATGTAACTTAAATTGCTCCACCTCCACACTTAACGCAGTGTGTAGGAGGGAGATTCCTCCTTCTTCTTCTATGGTATTGGCGATCACACAATTTAATGTGCATCCCGCCACCTACTATGCGGGATGGAAACAGAATTCCCCCCAAAAACTGAACAAACTAGCAAAAAATAAAAAAGAACAAATGTTTTAAAGATACAACAGATCTGATCCATACACAGGACAGGGGGCCTTCAGGTTCCTTGTGGTATACTTTGATACTAGACTGACCTGGGCAGAACACATTGAGAGAGTGGTGGGAAAGTGTAAGAAGGTGCTAAATGTGATGCGCTGTCTGACGGGAAGGAGTGGGGGGGCTGGGCGATCCTCATTGAAGACCATGTATGTTGCATTGATCCGATCTGTAATAGACTATGGAAGTATAGCATATGGTTCAGCAGCCCGGACCTCACTGGAAAGGCTAGATGTCATACAGGGGCAAGGACTCAGAATATGTAGTGGGGCGTTTCGGATGTCCCCAGTGGCTGCATTACAGGTGGAGATGGGGGATATGCCATTGCAGATTAGGAGACAGCAGCTGGCAATGAATTACTGGGTCAACCTAAAAGGACATGGGGTGTCTCATCCTGCGAAAGGGATTTTACAGGCATGCTGGGAACATGAGCAAAGACCAAATACAAGCTTTGGGTGGGTGGGTAATACCCAGGCGAAGGAGATGGGACTGTATGGAAGGGAGTTTAGTTCAACAGTAGTTATTCCTGTAAATCCACCATGGCTACTCCAGTAGGTGATCTAGAAGTGTTGGAGAGACTACAGAAAGATAGGAAGGGTGTTGATCCAGCTGATTTCTTCAAGAGACGTCTGGAAACTGTGTATCAGGATTTTGTGGCTATTTACAGATGGTTCAAAAGATCCAAGGACAGGACGTACTGGGTCAGCATTTGTAGTGCATGAATGTGGGGTGGAAGTCAGGAAACGTATTACAGATCATCTGGCTGTATATACGGCGGAGCTGATGGCCATACTGTTGGCCTTGCAGTGGGTGGAGGAAGCTAAGCCAGACAGAGTAGTTATTTGCTCTGATTCATGTGCCGTGTTAATGAGTCTCCAGTCCTTTAGCTCACGTAGAAGACAAGACCTGCTTTATGAGGTGCTACAAACCCATGGCAGGATTAAACAGATGGGTATTCAGATAAGATTTACTTGAGTTCCAGCCCATATGGGGGTGGAGGGGAACGAGGCGGTAGATGAACAGGCTAAACAAGCACTTAGTAGTGGGGATGTTGATGTTGATGTTGAAGTGTCAATGAGCAAGGCAGAGGCAAAAAGACTGATATATACAGTGATGGTGAAGATATGGCAGGAGCAGTGGAATATAAATAATAAGGGAAGGCATTTATTTCAGGTACAGAGGAAAGTTGGGGAGGGGAGGATGGCAGGAAGGGACAGAAGAGAGGAGGCTATTTTTACAAGATTAAGGGTGGGACACAGCCAGTTGAATAAGACATTAAACGTGATAGGAAAGCATCCATCAGGAAAGTGTGATTATTGTCAGGAAATAGAGACTGTGGAGCATGTATTGCTACAGTGTGGGCAGTATCAGAGGGAAAGAGAGAGGATGAGATTTAGTATGAGGGAGAAGGGGATACAGGAAATGAGTTTAAAGAGTATATTGAGTAGAACGTCATTAGATATAGTCTAAAATATTTTGTTATATTTTTTAAGAGAAACGGGGTTGGCAGGTAGGATTTCGTTTATCCCTGTCGCTGGCCCACACTCCAGTACGGTAGGTGGCGGTAATGCACCATAACGTTGGATGCCAACCGCCAATAAACCCCACTGAAGAAGAAGAAGAAGAAGAAGAAGAAGATCAAGAAGATCCATACACAGGCTCAAGGGGAACCTGGGAGGCGGGTCTTCCGGCGCCAGTACCCCTTGCAAATTGTAAATTCACTCTGGCTGTCTACTCCGATTTCAGAGCAGACTCGTCTGAGTGTGCCATAGTGCAGAATAACTGCTGAATTTACGAACGCTTAACACCCGTTGAATATGGCCGGTGCCAGTAAACGTCGGCAAAAAAAAAGCGTAATTTAATTGTTGCCAGCATCACAGTTACAGTCACTGGCGGGTTACAGCCACCCGCCGTGGAAACTCGGGTTGTTGCAGGTCGTGAAGAAAGATGGCGGAAGTGGATGCTGAGTTCGAATTATGCAGCGCGTCGAGTAAATTTGGGTCGAAGACGAATGTTCTGAATGGACAACAGTAGTATCGAAAACTGGAACAAAAAGGAAATTGTCTAAAATTGGAGTAGAGGATACGTGTGTAAATGATCATGTATCACTTCTTGTTGGGATCCGTTTGTTGAGTAATGATGCATATGTGGGAAACCCGTTTGAGGTGTCGAAAATGGTGAAGTATGCGCTTGGAAAAGTGGAGGCTGTCAGAGTGACCAGGAGAGGTCTTATTTTCATTAATTGTATTTCTGAAGAACAGAGGAAGATTGCAGTGGGCCTCAATAATCCGGACAACAGAAGTTTTGTGTTTTGAATTTCGGAGTAGAGCACCCATCAAAGGAGTCATCTCAGGGGTGACGACGAATGTTCAGGTTGAAAACCTGAAGAGAATTCCTGGTGTGATGGTGCCCGGCGTCTGACCCGCTGGGTGAATGGAGAAAAATAAGAAAGTCTGTCGGTCCTGTTGTTGTTTTTTGACAAAGAGCAAATACCTTGGTTATGTAAGATACGCTGTAAGAGCTTTCGTCCCCAAACCACTGCAGTGTAAGAATTGTAAAGGACTTGGCCATGTTTCAAGTGTGTGCAGACGAACAGAGTATACTGAAGAAAGGTGTGTAGAAGGACGACGGTGTTGCAATTGTAGTTGGGGTCATGATCCTGAGTTCCTGGAGTGCCCTGTAAGGGTGAAGGAAATTGAGGTGGCAAAAGTAAGAGCGGTCAAATGAATCTCCTATACAGAGGCGATTAAAATAATTGAGAAAACAAGTGATGCTAGTGAAGAGATGGTAGTGGATACACCACAGCCTGTAGTAAATGTTTGCTGCCAGACAAGATACCCTGTGTGTTAAAAAGGTGGATTTTGTTGTGTTCATTGCCACAGTTATAAACTGTACAGCACAAGTCTCAAAGAAGTCGAAGAAACTGGACATTGTTGTGGCTGTGGCAGAAAAGTTTTTGGGACTCAAGCAGTTTACATCGGAAGACTTGCAAGGGGTACTGGCGCCGGAAGAACCGCCCTACCAGGTTCCCCTTGAGCCTGTGTAGGGATCAAATCTGTATTTATTTATTTTTAACAGAAAAGTTGTTTGATTTATTTTAGTTTTTTGGTAGTTCCTTTTTGGGGGGGAATCCTGTTTCCATCCAGCATAGTAGGTGGCGGGATGCACATTAAATCGCCAATACCGAAGAAGAAGTTACAGTTACCAATGCTCTGGATAACATGAAAACAGCCTAACCAGCTCTGCTAGGGTGATTAAAATGGTCAGAGTGAGATGTTCTCTCATTTTTGTCTGGAAGTAGCTAACAAGCTAGCTAACGTTAGCCTGTTAGCTTGGGTGCTTGACTGCCCAATGTGAGGTCAGAATGCTCAGATCAACACTTCTCCTCGGCCAGAGCATCCAGTGTACGCTCTGAATTTACGAACGGACAATCTGACAACGATCTGAATTTATGAATGCCCAGAGCGCACTCTGAGCACACACTTGCACTCCACAGTGAATCTAGGAACACACCCACATTTGGGCTGGATAATGCTAAACAAGGTTGGAATGTTGTTATATAAATTCAACAAAGGACAATCATTAGTTAATTTGACAAAAATCAGTTGAAATCCCACTGTGGATGTATTAAACTTCAGAATTGCATTGGGGGCATACTTATACTGTATTTCACTGTACAGCCTTATCGATTGTGGATCAATGAAATGGGGTATCTGTCTACTCAGTGACATCCACAGAACAGAACTGTGAAGAGTTTACACAAATATTAGTATTGTAGCTCTTATTGCAGGACTTGAAGTCACTGTGATCCACAATCCATAGGTAAGGCTGTACAGTGCAATATGAAAGTCCAATACACATAGTAGGTTGACTGATAAGCTTAATGTGGCTCATTTCACTGGGGTTTCAGAGTCCCGCAATAAGAGCTACGTAGCTAATATTTGCATAAACTCTTGATGGTTGTGTCCTGTACGTGTCACTGAGTAGACAGATACCCCATTTCATTGATCCATAATCCACAAGGCTGTACAGTGCAATATCAATGTCCAATGCATATAGTAGGTTGACTGTGTTTGGTGAAATTAACTAATTTTTGGCGTTTG